AATGTTGAATGAACAGTAAATGTTCAGTGGCACACTTCACATTCAAGTTAAGCATGATATGATAAACTTATTTGGACTAGACAAATGATTACCATGTAGTCTAGAGCCAACAGGAAACTGTAGTTTCAGTTTTTTGAGCTGCATATTCTAGAATTTTTTTTTAATCCAAAACTACAAAAGGGATTTTTTTTTTCTAGTTTTGGCACTGGATTTTATCCTGGAGTTTTAAAATATTCTTCATCCTGTTCTTTTTCTATTAAGGTTAATGTTGAAGAAGGAAAATGCGGAAGTCGTCATTTGACAAGTTTTATAAATGAGTATTTGAAGCTCAGGAATAAGTGAAGCTGAAATTTGAAAAAATAAAAGAATGCATGCTAATTATCAGACCAGAAGTCCCACTTGTAGAATATTGAGCAATTTGTGTGAAGTGGGGAAGATGAAAGAAGTCAGAATTTGAAACGGAAGAATGAAGAAAAGAAATAAAAATGAAGTTAAGATAAGAAGTAATCTGGAATCAGAAAGCACTACGCTAAGTAATTACTAGTCTGTTTATGTGTCCCTGTATATTTTGCTAAACATGCATGCATTATTTGTTTAATAGAAGAAAATATATACAGGGTAAAGAAGTGACTTCCAAGGGAAACGTTTAAATTAGGTAATAATTCTAACTGCTTAGTCAAATGATGGAAATGCAATTCTTTAACAATAACTCTTTCTAGTCAAATAGCAGGCGGCAATGTGCTCTCTGTGGGTAATGATAGTTGGCCTCCCTATTTTCCTTAGACTTTTCATCTTTTATATTCTGCTGGTTCTGGGGTATATCAGTTGGAACTCTGGTGGTATATGTTACTTCCTTCAGTACTGAACAGTATCTAGTAGAATATATTGTACTGAAATTTTTCTAGATTGTCACCAGGGTGATTATGGAATGAAAGCCCCAAATCTAACCAAGCATTGAACAGTGTTGTTTCTTTTGTAATGAAAGAATTAGGTTTACAAAGAGTATTAGGGGAAAGCTATGACCATTTAGGTCCTAATGTTGAGATGTATGTGTGCCAAATAAGGATGATTCATTAAATTGTTTCATTTTAATACGTGTTCCAACTGAATTACTTGGATTTCTGCTAAGATAGAGTAGCTTCCCTTAAAAGATGGGCCATGCAAGTGAATAGAACCGCTAATTCAAAGTTCAGTAGTTGGTGCTTTCTTAAGCCTGTTCTATCAACAGTTTGCAATTACAATGCTAAAGTAAACATGTTTTTGCTTTTTTTAGTTGGCGACTTCAAAAAAAAAAAAAACAAACCCCAAATTCCTGTCTTTCTATGTTTGATTTTAGTTGAGAAATCAGATAATTGGTATCAAGTAGCCTTGGTGGTTGAATTAACAGGTACATGTGAAAACAGCCAACAGCTGCTTTCCCTCTAGTGGAGAAGTCTAGGGTTATTTTCCTAAAATAACAACTTATATATAATATGCTCTCTGAGAGTTGTCAGGACTCTTAAAGCTGTTGGACAAAGTGATTTTAAATTGACCTTTTTTGAAGGATCTGTTTTGGGGGGCACATTTCTCCTATTGTCAGGATAAATTGTACTTCACAATTATTTCTGTATCTTGCAAATAGAAGAAAATGTCCATAACAGTTTGTTGTAAAGCAAAACTTCTTGGATAATAATCAAGAATAATGTTAATCTTGCATTCTGAGTTACTAAAAGAAGTATGTAGCTGAGGTAAAAATGATAGTTAATGAACTTTTCATATTTCAAGCCTGTGGTTTGTGTGTGTGTGTGTGTTTTATTTAAATCAAGAGGTCTTGAAAGGGCCTTGGAACCTGAAAGAGGAAGTGACACAGCTCCTTAAAATTCAAGAAAGCAATTTGGAGTTCTGTTTTGTGCCCAAGCTGGGTACCCTTAAAGTGAAAATTATGATGATGCTAGTGAAACTTCCAAACTACTTTTTGTTTTCCTCGTTAGCTGGTCCCAGGATGTCTCCTGTGGGCTGGGGGGGTGGGGGGAATACCATGGGAAAATAGGCTTTTAGTCCTGATGAAGGAAAACTGAATTACAATCTGAGACAGGCTGGGAGAATGGGGCGGAGGCTAGAGCAGGGAAGATTACTTAGGCAAGGGGAAAAAAATCATAGAAAGCATATAAATTCTGAAATTTTGTATGGCTTATAACTAGCATATGTGTTAACATTTTGTAGGGTACCTAACTCCAGACTACTAAAGAAAGACTCCTGTTTGGGGCTATCTGTTGTGAAAAGCTATAGGGAGGGGTTTAGCGCATACTTATGAGATGTTAGTGCATTTAGCCTTTAAAATACAGGGATTGGATTGTTATTCCTACTTAGCAACTCTTGAAGTAAGTCCTGAGGTGATTATATTCTCAGTATAGGAGTTACAGACTGACATTTTGTCGGAAGGCTGCTTGGTTTTTGTTTTTAAACTTGACCTGTTCCTTGTAGGTTATGCTGTAGTTAAAATGACAGAAATCAGTTAGGAACTTGTTTTCTGACCATTTTTTCCCCCAGGGAATTTATGACTTGTTTAGGCTTTTAAACTCAAGATCCCTTTCCTTGAGATATTGATATGTATAGTTCTTTTTCTCGGATTTTATATGACTGTCTCATTCAGTGGAATTTGAATAGAATGTAGGGGCTTTCCTTGCATTAAAGTTTAAACTTAATGTTATGCTTTGGATTTAGCTAATCATTGTAGGTCTCATTTAGAGTTTAACTTCTTTAAACCCTGACAGTTCAGAGGTGGTTACTGCTGGCCCAATAAGGTGGCAGTATTTAGACAAGGTGAATCTTTGCATTATGGTGTGTCCCATATTTCCAATTGAAATTCTTGCTCACAATAAATCTATATATGTATATTTAGCCTATTAGAGTGGGAGGCTGTCTTAATGACTTTATAGTCTGTTGACCTCTTGCCTGCTGGAATTTTAGGAGATGTTATGGTTAATTTCCTAGATTAGAAGTGGACAGACTGTTGAAGTATCTCAAGGATAAAGCTTTTCTGTTAAAGTGAAGCAAGAGTCTTAAGGGAATTTTTTCTTTTTACCTCTTCATTTCTGAACAAATATCTATTAACTAAGTTTAGTGATATTCCAGTATCAAAGGGTTTCATTTGGTTGCTATTAAGGTTCATAATTGTTTCCTGGAGTATACTTAGAGCATTGGAATAAAGACATTTCTGTTAATGTCTCGGTTCCTTATTTTTTCTTGTAGATTAAATTTGCTAATAGTAAAGATGTCAAAAAGCTACACTGTTAATTTAATGAAGTCTTTGTTCAGAGATGAATTGCCCTTTCTGGATGTTTTTGTTTGAACATTTGATAGAGAAATCCAATTGCAGGTTAACTGGAATCCTTGCACAGCAGTTCCTTCCTTCTTCAGCGTCAGCAATAGTAGAGCTTGGTATCAACAGCAGCTGTTTTCAGTAATTAAAAAAAATCTTCACCTTCCTTTCATCTCTTTACGTTCAGCCATTTGGGAAGCTGGGTTAGGTAGAGACTGAAAGACTGTCATTCAGATTTCTTGTCACATTATACACGATGGTTTATTTGTAGTGTCTTTCAAGTATTTTCTAGATTGCTTGGGGCTTGGAGCCTGAAATAATTTTCCTGCCTTTTTTTTTTTTTTTTTTTTTAACCCGTCTTACTTCAAACTTCAGGGGTTATTCCTTCTAAAAGGTGTTTTTGTTTTGTTTTTTTTCTTTTTAAATCTTGAGCATCAAGGAGAAGAATGTTGTTTCCATTCTGAAAATCCTGTATTCTAAAATGTTTGGTGACTAGAATTTAAAGTAACCTTGTAGTTTGTCTTTTTGTGAATGACCAGACTATTCTGGAGATGTACTGTTAAGGGAGATCCCTTGTAACATCTGGAAGTTTCAGTTGTGATTCATAATACTATAGTGTGGCATAATTTTCATTTCTTTTTAGCTTGACCACCTGTTGCTGTAACTTGAGTAGAAAGATTCACTAGACCATGCCTTTCATTTTTTCTAAATTGGACAAAAGTTTGATCTTAGTGGAAGCTTACTTGTATGGTGGAGTAAGTACTGTCCGTCATCCTTTTTTGGGGGGTATCTTTGCACAATTTTTCTCTGATTCTGTTACTGTATGTGTGTATCTTTTCTGCTAATCGACATGAGAGACCTTTTGCTCATGAATTATCCTTTGAGCTGTTGCTTTTCTCATTTGTTTCACTTAACTGCCAGCTAGTCAAAAAACTGAGTACACAGTGTTTACCTAGGCTTTTTGCAGAACTTCCTGGGCCCTGGATAATGAGCCCATGATGAGTCCTTATTTTAATAGCTTGCCCTTTACATACCATTCCTACAGGGTTCCCCACTTGAGTTTGCTGTGGCTCATCTCAGTAGTGAGAAAGCTGTGACTCTTGGCAACTTCTTTACTCTTGACTTTTAATATAGTTCACTCACTGCCTTTTTCTACTGTAGTTCCTTCTGGTTGCTTTGCATTACATAGGGTTTCCTGTATAGTTAGATGAAACTAGGCTCTTAACCAGATTTCTTGTGCATTACCTGGTCTTTGTTTTCCACTAGATTTCTGCATTTAGGGGCCTGAAATGCAGGTTATGCTTGAAATTTTGAGGCCTTAAGTTTCATAAATTTTGGAGGTTTTTATTGCAGCTTGACTGAAGTGGAATAGACTTCATAGTAAGAGATTAAAGTTCTTTCTTAGTCCTTGTAGTAATATTGCCTAATTATAAAACTTGGGCAGTTTCTTTAACAGTTTGACACACCTTTCTTAAGCCAGTAGTTAGGTAATTCTCCCTGCTCCAGAAGGGTGGGAGAAAAGAAAAAGCTAAATTGACTTTGCCATTTGAAGCAATGAAACTATTATACCAGGTATACTCAATTCCTGCCCTCACCTATGTTTTCTTATCTTTGGAAGAGGATTGTTCTCCCAGCAGATTATTTGTTTTTAAAATTTCCCAAAAAGTATATAAATTAAACTTTTGACATCTGCATGTAGGAATCCCGTTCTGCTTCCAGAAGTGGAAGTGCTCACGGATCAGGGAAGTCTGCAAGGCATACCCCTGCAAGGTCTCGCTCCAAGGAAGATTCCAGGCGTTCCAGATCTAAATCCAGGTCCAGATCTGAATCTAGGTAAGAAAGACCATCTTGAGATTTCCTTCTGTTATTCATAGCTTGAAATTGATGTGGTTTAAGGAAGGTACTGAGAACATCATTTTTGGCCTGGTTAATGTTGATAATAATGTTGGTGTTAGACACTATATGGTCACTCTAGTCAAAGAGGTGTGAATTGATTTTATTAAAAATTCAGGGTAAACTGCCTGTGATCATAGTTTTTATTGGCTTAAATGAGTATTGGGCATAATAGGATCACGAAAATAAAAGTTGATACTGTGAGAGGTATGCTTGAAATAAAACCAAACTAGTAAAGTGTACTGTGCACTGTTTATTAAAAAGTACGTTTTTTTATTAAATTCCCTTTTATGTTTGAAGAAATGTGGAAAGAGAGCTTGTGCTTTTGATGTTCAGCAAGCTGAAATGATTAGAGGGGAAAATTTAGTATGGATTATGTCTTGTTTGGAATTGAAAGACATCTATTTCAGTTAGTCATAACTCTGAGGACTTTGTCTTGCAGATCTAGATCCAGAAGAAGTTCTCGCAGGCATTACACAAGGTCACGATCTCGATCCCGGTCCCATAGACGATCCCGGAGCAGGTCTTACAGCAGAGATTATCGCAGACGCCACAGCCATAGCCACTCTCCTATGTCTACTCGAAGGCGCCATGTTGGGAATCGGGTAAGGTGAAAAACTTTTCTGCAGTGATGACCCAGGGCATTGTGCAAACTAGGCAAATAAGTATTCTACCACTGAGGTACAGCCCCAGCCTGAAGAACTTTTTGAAGCAGTGTACTTCCTAATGCCTTTGTAATATCTTCCTATCCCTGTTCTCTCACGCTCTTCTTTTACTTAGAACAGATCACATATTTATTGTAATAGAATTGCTCTAGTAAGGTTTTAAGTCTGTAAAATTAATGGACCCTTTTAAACAAATTCATTATGGCTAGAATGCTACTAGCATTCTCTCACCATGAGAAAGAAGTTAGATACCTGGTACATGTTGTGTTGGGCTTTATTTATGAACCTTAGGGATGACTTAAAATGTAGTAGTTCCCTTTGATTTCAGCTGGCTAAGGTTAAAAATGGATGAAAATTTCCACAAGTAATTTATGAAACTTACTCTTGGTTAGGAACAAAATCATCAATGAGAAATAATTGTCTAAATAACTTTTTATATAGACATACACCTACTGTCTGGGAAGTGTAATCCCTTGAATTCTTAAAGAAATACGCTGATGACTTTACTCTGGTTTATACTTTCCTTTTGGGTGTTTAAGACCATACAGTTGGCCCAAATAAATCAGTTTATTTTTATATTTAAGGCCATTTGAGGATCTCTTCCTCAGGGGTCACATGGGCTTGGGAGGAGCTCCTGGCTCCTTTTTTTTCAGTTCCATCTATGTGAAGATAAGTCAAAGGTCTGGCTACACTTGGAAGCATGAATGAGAAGTTTCATCTGAGTTGACCCTCCTCTTTGTAGATTGGATACTGGTTCAAGTCCATCTCATGGGGTCTCCGTGGCCTCCCTGAACAAGAGGACAGGTGACTTACCACAGTTACAGGACATTTTGAGAGATGTTCCATAGTCCCCTGGAACTTAGTCAACCTTGGAGGGCAAGGGGTAAAAACTGTATTATGGCATTCTTTACTAGTTTGTGATTCTCCCCATGCACTTTGGTTATGTCAGATTTTTAGAATTTAAAATCCATGTATTTGTTTCTAGGCAAATCCAGACCCCAACTGTTGTCTTGGAGTGTTTGGCTTGAGTTTGTACACCACAGAGAGAGATCTGAGAGAAGTGTTCTCTAAATATGGCCCTATTGCTGATGTGTCTATTGTGTATGACCAGCAATCTAGACGGTCAAGAGGATTTGCCTTTGTATATTTTGAAAACGTAGATGATGCCAAGGAAGTAAGTAAACATTTGCCTGTCATTTTGTTTAAAAACACCAGTCTTGTTAAACATGTTGTATTGATAACCAGGTACTTGACAAAGAAGTTTCTGTTTTTATGGTTATGAATTAAGATACATAACTGTAATGAATTAAAAGAAACATTCTTTTGGAACATAATTCAATTAAATGCTTCTCTGAATCCGCCCCCCCATTTCATGGTGCAGAATTTAATTTTATGAGCGTGTTGCCTGTATGTGTAAGGGCACTCATGTTGTACAATGCCTATAGAGGGCAGAAGTGGGTGTCAGATCCCCTGGAACTGGAGTTAAGGATGGTTGTTAGCTGAACCAGGGTCCTCTGCAAGAGCAGCCAGTGCTCTTAACCACTGAGCCCCAGGGCATTTAAATGGTCTTACCACCTTGTTTTGTAAGGTAACTGCTGCTAATCCAGTTGAGTGTACTACATTCATATTCTTAAGTAAATTTCTGTTTTGGCATGTATAACTATAAATCGATGATTTACACTATTTTCTAAAGTATATGTTGTCTAGTGAGACTCTGAAGAGCAGTGAGTACAAGCCCAGTCTTTGTTGAGATTGGAAACTGACCTAGCTAAAATATCCTTATGCAGTAGTTTGTGAAAATTACAAGCTTTGAAAAACTACTTTTTTAGAGGAATAACTTGATCTCATTAAAAGACAAAACTAGATGTCAATGATTTTAATAGGTGGTTTTGAAGTTTTAAGAGATTGGAATGCAACCTTTTACAGTCAAAAGATAGAAACAGGAAATGCCTAACACCACTGACAGTGTAGACTCCCTAATGCACTTTGGTATAGTGCTAGAAACTGTAAGACATGAACACAAGCTGAAACATAAAACCGAAAGGTAATGTGATTCAAGCTTTTTTCGTACAGCTTTTGATCTTTTTTGAGAAGGACTTGTCAAAATACATCAGATACTTTGAATCATAGGACCTCAGTGACAGTTATCTTCTAACTGCAGACAGATATGTATAAAGGGAAGAGTTGACTATGTTCAGCCACTGCTAATTAATGGATATTAAAATTTGGATGTAGTGGGCCTGTGTGTGTCATCTCAGCACTTGGGAGGTAGAGACAACAGGATTAGGGAATTCAAGACCAGCCTGTCTCTAAAAGAATGGATTTCGTGTAATTTTCTCTTGTCATTAAATTATTTTTTATTACTAGTTATTAGATTTGTAGTGCTAGGTCAGAGACCAGCAATGGACCAGGCTTGTAGCTGTACATTGCTTTAGAGCTAAGTCCATTCAGACTTAGGGTAGAATTTATTAACGTTTCATGGGTCAGATAGGCCATTGTGTTCAGGATGGGGGTTTTTGTTTGTCCTTTTATGTTTTGGAGACTAATTTTGACAGTATTTAGTGGCGGGAACAACCCAATTGTGGGGGCTTAAAAGTACTAGCCATGTGTGGTGGCACACGCCTGTATTCCCAGCACTTGGGAGACAGAGGCAGGCAGACCTCTGTGAGATTTGAGGCCAGCCTGGTCTACATAGGGAGTTAGTTCTAAGCCAGCTGGGGTTGCAGGGAGACCCTGTCTCAAAAAAAAAAACAAACAAACAAACAAACAAAAAACATATACTTCATGGATGTGACTGTTTGCCTGCAAGTAGGTACACTGTATGTGTCGGTTACCCACAGAGGCCTGAAGAGGGCTGCAGATCCTGGAAAAACTAGAGTTGTAGATGGTTGTGAGCTGCCATGTAGATGCTGGGAACTAAACCCGAGTCCTTTGCACTTAACCACTGAGTCATCTCTAATTCATATAAGTATAGTTTTTTCCCCTAACCATCATTAAAAGAATATTTTGGGGTATGGTTGGAAACAGGGTCTGGCCTAGAACTCCAAGATCCATCCATCTCTGCCTCCCAAGTGCTGGGACTGCACGTATGCGTCACCATGCCTGACCAAACTTTAAAAGAATGTCATGTGTATAACCCTTTGTTTGTCTTTTGAAGGCTAAAGAACGTGCCAATGGAATGGAGCTTGATGGACGTAGAATTAGAGTTGACTTCTCTATAACAAAAAGACCACATACTCCAACACCAGGAATTTACATGGGGAGACCCACCTAGTAAGTTTATTTTTTTGGGGGGTGAGTAGTTGCCCACTTGTGGAAGCCAGAGATGGATATCTTCCTCTGTCATACTTTTTAAAGAAATAAATGTGTGAGTACATGTGTGTGGAGATCAGGGGACAACTGTGCATTTGTTTCTTTTTCAACCTTTACATGAGCCAGGTTTTTTTTTTTTCTTTTTTTCTTCATCTTTTTGAGACAGGGTCTTCCTGTATCCCCAGCTGTCCTGGAACTCACTATGTAGACCAGATAGGCCTTGAACTCAAAAGAGATCCTCCTGCCTCTGCCTTCCGAGTGCTGGGATTAAAGGCGTGCCACCATCACACCCAGCTTGAGCCAGCTTAATTTTTATATGTTGATCATATCCATTCCCTGATGTTCCCCCCTTTCATGCACTCTTTTTAAAATAATAATTCACTGAGTACAGTTAGTACACCCATATGCACATGGTATGAAGCCAGTCATTGGCGCCATGGTCAGTCAGTCTACCCTGGGCTGGTACTCAGCTAGGAGTTAGGGCCTCAAGAGCCCCTCCCACATCTAAGCGGGAATGTTGACTGGTACCACAGCTGCAGTGAGTTCCTGAGTGCCACTGCCATCCTGAGTGCCATCCTCAGTCCTGTCCAGAGGATGTTGTTTTGCAACAGTTCTCCCTGACCTGGCTCTTTCCACTCGTTTTCTAGTGTTCCCTTGAGCTTTGGGAAAGTACAGGGGTATGATAACTGATTCCTATTTATAACTCAGCAGTCAGGATCTAAACTTTGACCAGTTGTGTCTAACTCCTCTCTGGTGCAGAAGACTTTGATTAGGACTGAATTGCACTGCTCTGTGGGCCCAGTTTAAGTTTTGAGACAAGGTCTCACTGACACTCACTGATTAGCTACAGTGGTTGGATGAGACTTTGAGATCGTGTCTCTCTCACACTTGTGGGTGCTAGGGATCTGACCCCAGGTACTCAAGCTTGAGCAGCAAGCAGTTTATCCACTGACTCACTTCAGTTAACTCCATTTTTTCTATATTTGAAGGAGGAGTACATGTGGAAATTAGAAGACAACTTCCTGGAGTCTGTTCTCTCCACCTTTATGTGGATTCTGAAGGGATGGTACTGGGGTTGCTAGGCTTGTGCAGCAAAAATGCCTTTAACTCACTGAGCCATCTTGGCTGCCCCCTCAGATTTTACTTAGTTCACACTTGTGTATGAATGGGGTGATCAAATGCCAAAGGGCTTTTGTGGAGGTCATCTCTATTGTCATCCTCCCCTATCTTGCTTGAAAAAATGATCTTCCATGTTCACTACTAGCTAAGGAAAAGTTGAATGATAGGCAACTCTGTTCCCCCTTGTTTTCATTTAATCACAGTTATCTCTGCAGTTCTCAATTTTATAACTTACATATATAGCTTTTATATACAATAGAGTGTGGTTAGAATATCATATTATTACTAAGTCAAACCATTTCCCGCCTCTCAAATTTCTTAGATTTTCTCTTTTTGGGAAATTATAGGATTAGTGAAATGACTTTTAGTAGACAGTTGAGTTTGTGTCCCCTGAGCCAAAAGATTTTACTCTCACATACAGTACACTGTAATAAGGGAAGAGGAAACATAGTACAATTTCCATGGGAATTGTATAGAAATAATAATGTTCCGTTGATTTGTGGCAGTCTCCCTGTGGCTCCAGCTGACTTGAAAGTCACTATAATAGACCAAGTTAGCCTCGATCTCATAAAGATCCACAGCCTTCTGCGCTTGTACTATATTTTTAGAAGTCTGCTGGTAGACTTGGCTTTTGAGGGAAGTTCTTCCTGTAGGCCTGGAACTCAGTATGTAGAATAGAAATCTACCTGCTTCTACCTTCCAAGTGCTAGTGCTGGGATTAAAGACATAAAACCACTATGTCCTGCTACATCTCCATTTTTTTTTTTTTTTTTTTTTTGTATAGGAGAACCAATGAAACATTGCCTAATACATATCCAAGGAACTTGGTGTGCCTCTCATGGAGTTCTGCTCTCTAACAGAACCAGTTTTTAATAGCAAAAGTTATGGGGAAGGGGAGAAATTGCTTGAGTTTTTGAGAGATAATGTTGTCATTTGTAGTGGCAGTTCACGTCGTCGGGATTATTATGACAGAGGATATGATCGAGGTTATGATGATCGAGACTATTACAGCAGATCATACAGGTAAGTTATATAGGAGAGTCATAATGTAAGTAAAAGCTTATATACTTTTTTTTTTTTGCCTTTTTGAAACCATCTCCCTGTAGGCGGGCCTGGAACACTCAGGTCCGCCTGCCTCTGCCTCCCAAGTGCTGGAATTAAAGTCATGCCGCCACCGTGCCTGGCTATATGTTTTATATACTGAGCAATATTACAGATTTAAGCCAGCATAATTTGGTATTATAGTTGGATGCCTGCTTAAGTAAAGGGAAAATTAATAACTTGGTGTGTTAGTGAAAAGGTGAAACATTTTATTGTGCATGTCTGGAGGTCAGAGAATAACTTAGTTCTACCTTTACTTGGGTCCTAGGGATCTAATGGGGTCATTGGGCTGTGAGAGCCATCTTGATGGCGTGAAAGTTACATAAACAGTAAATCAGCTGAATTCTCTTAAAGACATTGATTTAGCATGTAGTAGGAATTTATGATAGGGAAATGAGAACATTTGAAAAACAGTATTCTATGCAATATTGTGAAAGAAGCATCTAGACAGGGATCGGGGGAAGTGCTTTCCTGCAACCTGTCACCAGAGTTTGATTACTAGAACTCCTGTAAAGGTAGAAGGAGGAAACTATATGCACAGAATTCTCTGACCTCTGCATGTGCACAATGGCATACACACATCTGCAGTAATATTTTTTTTTAAAGGAATGCCTAGGCAGAAGTCACCAACCCGTAAAGTATGGAGTACAATTCTTTAATTTTTATGACTTTGGTGTGGTATTGGAGGTATGGGTCCTTTTATGTACGGTATTTTCATGTTTAAGAAATTGAAAATTTTGGACTGGAGAGATGACTGGTTAAGAGCACTGGCTGTTCTTGCATAGGACCCATGTTTGGTTGGTGGGTAACAGCTGACTGTAACTCCAGTTCTAGAGGATCTGATGCCCTTTTGACCTCTTTGGGTACTTCACAACCCAGGTGCACTACATAAATGCAGGCAATACATTCATAAATATCAAATAAAAATTTAAAAGAAATTTAAATTGTGAAAGTAAGACTTCATGCTTTTGACATTGTCTATAATTTTATCCTCTAAAACCAAAATATTTTTCCCCTTTCAGGATTATTGTGTTAAAGTGGGACTTGATTTGTAGAGGGGAAGGGGTTTAATATCTTTAATTGCCTGAAGAGCTCTCTTTAGAAAAGTTTTATGTTCTAATGATAACTAATCCTAGCTACTTAAGAGAGCTCTACAAGAGAACTAGGGTTCATTTGTGCTTTGTGGGAATTTTAGCTTTAACTGAAAACTTCTTTTCCTGTCTTTATAGAGGAGGTGGTGGAGGAGGAGGTGGATGGAGAGCTGCTCAAGACAGGGATCAGATTTACAGGTATGCCAGGAGGGGGATTAAAATATGCTCAGCAATACAAAGCTTTGTTTAAATGTTTGATTTATGCTTTGGCAACTGTTCTGTAAGTGACACCACACAGAATTTGATTTCTTGAAGTTCATAAAAGCTCATAACACAGTATAAAGGGCTTTGAAGTGTTTAAAAATTAGTGAAGCTTTTTAGTACTTGTTTTCTTTTTTGTTTTAATAGTTGTAAAAACAGAAAACTAAACCCATCACTAATGTAATGTCTTTTGGGTGTTAGTCCATGAAAGTGTGGTTGGAATTAATAGTGGGATTTCTCTTTTGTTTTTAATGTGCTTTTTTGAGACAAGGACTCAGGATATAGTCCTTGCTGGCCTGGAACTCTATTCCTAGTAGGGTGACCTGGAATTCACAGAGATCTGTCTTCCTCCTCTTTCCAGCTGCTTGGATTTAAAGGCGTGTGCTACCATGTTGGACTGATTTTTCTCTTAATCTTAGACTTACTGAAAAATCTAAAGTAAATAGATAGTGGATTTTGTTACTGTTTAAAACATAGCAAAGAGAAACTTATAAGAAAGTATTTGCTAGTTTATTGAGAAATTTCAGTTTTAGCAACTGCCGAAGGTTTGGCAGTATTTGTATTAATGTAGGTAACATCATCTAGATGTAAAAACTTAGACCAAAACTCTCAACATTTGTTTACAGAAGGCGGTCTCCTTCTCCTTATTACAGTCGTGGAGGGTACAGGTCACGTTCCAGATCTCGGTCGTACTCACCTCGTAAGTTACCCTCATAGATTCTGTTAATCTCTTATGTAATTGGCTCTGATTTGCTGAAGTACAACTTTATTCCTAAGTACAGTTTCTTCTGTCACCATTCATTATGGGCTTTGCTTTTTAGGAGTCCTTGCCAGTTAGGACAATAATGACATGGATGATTTAAAACTTACTAAGTGGACTTGTCATTCCCCGTGTGGTTTTTAACATTGATTAGCTCCTGCTTAGTGTTAACACATGAGTGAAATTCTCTTATTTTCATTGGAGGGGATCTGTTTGATACATAGGAATTTTCTACTGGTAAAATAGTGAAAAATTTTCAACTTTAAAATACATTTTATTTCTTTTAGCATTAATGCATGTTTGTTTCATTTTGTTTTCTTCCCAGGTCGCTATTAAAGCATGAAGTTGAAGACTTTCTGAAACCTGCCACAGAGCTGGAATATTGTTTGTGGACAATATTTTCTATTGTCTTCTGTTTAAAAAGTGAACAGTGCCTAGTGAAGTTAGGTGACTTTTACACCTTTTATGATGACTACTTTTGGTGGAGTTGAAATGCTGTTTTCATTCTGCATTTGTGTAGTTCGGTGCTTTGTTCAAAGTTAAGTGTTTTCAGAAAAGTATGTTTTGCATGTATTTTTTTACAGTCTTAAATTTTGACTGCTGAGAAGTTTCTATTGTACAAAACTTCATTTAAAAGGTTTTTCTACTGAATCCAGGGTATTCTGAAGATCGAAGCCTGTGTGTAAAATGCTACCAAATGGCAAAAAGCAACAATAAACAGTTTGATTTTTACTTTTTTTCTAAATATCAATGCTTAACCAGAACTATTTCAATTAAGTTGTCAGTAGTAAAACAAAAATACTCATTTTTATTCCAGAAGTCCAAAACAACCATATTCAATAAACCTACAACTTAAGTGTTAAAAATATGCTCTGTAACTCTGTGCTGCTAGTATTAGAACTAAAAATCTTTCAATATGGCAAATGCTTAATGCTTTATATAAATGTGGATTTGTCAGCTTTTATGTAATCTGTATTATATATGCAGGAAAAAAGAGCTACAGATGTTTGCCTTTAAAAGGCTGTTTCTTAAAGCTGTTACAAGAGGATAATGGTATTTCAACTAGTTATCAGCAAGTGACGATACATTCCACCACAGATGTGCTCTTGTTCTTCTAGCTTTTAGAGTGAACAAACTGGGTGCTTCAAAGTCTGGAGAAAGAGAAGGGATCACTACACCCATGTCATGGATAAAGACTGCCTGTTCATTTTTTAAATATTATTTCAGGTCCTTTGCTTACCAAAGGAGGTCCAGTTTCACTCAGATGTTTGAGAACTGTTTAAATAAACGCAAACAGACAAATTGCTGATGCAAATTCTTTATAAAGAATTGTTGTTTTTCTTTTAACCTAATTGGGATTAGTGTTTTTGTAGGTTATTTAGTCCCTGGTGTATTATTCTTGATTCAAGAAACACAGACTTTGGTGCTAGTTTTTTTGTTTTTTTTTTTTTAAAGAGGTTGCATTTCTCAAATACTTTGGAAAAGGTAGATCGCTGCAGTAATCATTTCCATTTGGTGCTGGGGCCACTAGCTTCTCACATGACTATTTTTTGCAAAGCACATTCCTAGTACTAATTCCTTTTCATTCAGGTTTCTTTCATGACCAATTCCAGGGCCATTGTAAGTAGGAAATTGTGCTTACCTTTGGGCCTTTCTCACACTTAGTGTTATTTAGGCATATCATTATACAGTTTTCTTAGCATCCACATGCAGAGTAGAGTAAGTTTGGCTTATATAAACCAGATATTAAAATGACAGTACTGGGATCTAAACTTATGTTTGAGGGGGGAGGATTTCTGGCCTATACATGCACACACACTTTTGAACAGAATCTTAAGCAGGTTAAAATTAAATGAATGGAATAAGTAGTTTGCTGTTTTCTTTGGGAATGAAAGCACTTTAGGGTAGACCTTGAGCAACTACTGTTGCTGACTTGGAGGAGGGTAAATTTGAGCCTTAACATTCTTACTGGAGACTGAGGAAGTCCCAGCTTTGATATGGGAAATAACTATCATTTGCTTTAAGCTGCAGGGTTTAGACTGAGATTGAATGTAAAGTTCATTGAAGGATTGTTGGATCAAAATAGTTTATAATTAGTATGATCTGTGAACATGTACTTTGAACTGAGGAAATTGTAAGTTGAAGTAGGACAAAGAAGTTTGGTCTAGAAGAAATAGGATTTTAATTTTACTAAAACCAAATTTTACAGACAGATGTATTTGAGACAGTGACATATCCGGCAGGCTTCTAACTTAGATATATGTAGCTCTCTGGCCTTAGAACTTCTGCTGCCCTTTGCTTCTCCACTTGAATGCTGGGATTACAGGTGTACAATACAATATCTGGCAGGTGGCAGATTCTGAGAATGGGGTAGACTTAAGTTTGTTAGTGCCCACACAGTTTTGCTTCAGGAAATTGCCTCTGGTTTAATTCTTGTGATTTGATTGGCTCTTTTAAACATCAAATGGTCAGAATACTCTTGGTAAGGATTCTGAGGGGTAAAAATACACTGAAATTGGTTCTTTATATATATTTCATGATGCCCTTATTATCAGGACACATACTATGCCCTTTTCCTCAGGAGTAATCAATTCATGAGTCAAGAACATCCTATTTTTAGAAACCAGGTGTGGTACAGGCCTTTAATCCCAGCACTGGCAATGATAGCGGTATCTCTGTGAGATGGATGCCAGCCTGGTCTACATAGTTCCAGGCCATTTGGGGCTACAGGAAGACTCTGTTTCAAAAAATAATACTCTTAGAGAAGCTTTACTACCCTGATAAGATGAAAGTAAAATGACACCCCAAGTTAAGAGAAGTGATTTAAAGCATTTCATAGACAGGGTTATAATTGTAAGCAGCAGGATGGGTATGTTAATTAGTGAAGTGGTCTGGCAAGAATTTTTAGCTTGGAGACGGGGGTGGTAGTGCATGCCTTTAATCCTAGCACTTGGGAGGCAGAGCAGGAGAATCTCTTTGAGTTCCAGGACAACTGGAGACCCTGTCTCAAAAAAAATTAAGTCTGAGTATTAAGATATAGGAATAGAGTCAAGAGACTAAGGTCTTGATTATATAACCAAAAAATGGGAGTTCTGTGCACACAGGTTTGGAACAGTTGTCATAACCATGCACCTTTTGACAGGATAGAAACCCAAAGGAGTTTATGTGATAGTCTTCATAGTGAAACAAAAGCATTCTGCAGCTATTTTTGTTTGTGTTTGTTAGAAAGACTGATACATAAAAAGATAACCCCTAAAATACCTAGACCCTGGTCTGCAACTAGTTGAATTCATGTGAATCAAAGAGCTATTATAATCAAAAGTCAGAAATGGGGCTTATGGGAACTAGATCTGACAGCCATTTTACGGTAAGCCTGGTAAAATTAATAAAACCTTTGCTTTTACTAATTCCTTTAGTATGTCATTTGGGACTTTTCACTAAAGTGGAATCCCCGACTTGGCAATTCTTAAGAAGATGGGAAATTCTTAGAAATGAGTATTTTTCAGGTTTAGTGCTCCATATGTGATGATATTGGTAGCAGTAGCACAACACACAGCTCCTGATCTATACAGTGATTGCAAGAGAAAATAAGTGAAAACTAGTATCCTGTGTCACTAAGCTATGATATTCTGGAAATTGGACATTGAACACTTTTTCTTTGTTGGTGTTTTTTGCTTTTTGAGACTGGGTCTCACTATATATAACCCCAGCTGGCCAGGAACTCAGTAGGGAGACCAGGCTGAAATCAATCTTAGAGACATAATCTGTTTTTCAATTAAGAATATAGCTCAGTAGTGCAGCACTTTGCATACCATGTATAAGGCCTTGGGTTTTGATCCTCAGGGGAAAAACTATAGAGTTGATACCAAGTACAGGTGTTCATTGTAGGAATTTTCCTGAGCATTCAAAACATTTTAGAAAATATTGATGAAATTGCTCAGTTCCTTAAAATTGGAACTTACCAGCCTGTGTTTCGAAGGTCCACACCCTGCTTCTTAGTGAAGGTAGGAGAATTAAGCTCAGGAATTCAAGGTTCGCCTGAGTAAAGCAGTGAGACTATTTTTAGAAAAGACTAACATGTGCAGGGCATGATGGTGAAGGACTTTTAATTCTAGCACTTGGGAGCCAGAGCTATCAGGATCTGAGTTCCAGGCCACCTGAGGCTTCAGGGAGGCCCTGTGTCAAAAAGAACAAAAAAAAAAAAGAAAAGAAAAAAACTACTGTGACATGAGCTTGGGGGAATTTTTCTTAAGCATTCAGGCCTACCATAAAAAAGAATAAAGGATAACCTGTGTGTGCAAAAAAATGAAAACACTTTATTGATCCTTTTTGAGACAGTTTGGCTATAGCCCCAGCTGACCTGGGAAGTATGTAGACCAGGCTGTCCTTGATCTCAGAGATTCCTCAGCATCTGCCTCCTGAGTGCTGGTATTAAGGGTGTACATCACCTTGCCTGGCAAAATTATTTTTAAAGGCTTTTTTATTATGTGTTTTCCTTTTATGTATCTAGGTGCACTGTGTGTGTCCAATGCCTGTGGAGGTCAGAAGAGGGCATCAGATCCCCTGGAATTGCAGTTATGGACAGCTACCATTTCAGTGCTAGCAACCTTGGTGTTCTGCAAGAGTAATAGGACAGTCAGATCAACTGTCACATTGGATTGTTATTTTGATTACTAAAAATTTATTCATTTAAAATCCTAAGATGGAACTCATAAAGTATGAATTTTTTATTGAGATATGCTGGCCCTGATCTCTGTATAAGCTTGATTTTTTTTTTTTTTTTCTGCCATGTGGGTGCTGGGATTTGAACCTGGGGCTTCTGCAAGAGGAATCAGTGTTCTTAACCACTGAGCCATCTCTCCAGCTCCGGAGGGGGGCAGGAGTTTTGTGTATGGATTGCTTGAATATAAGTGGACCACGTGTGTGCAATACCTGTGGAGGCCAGAAATGTCAGATCCCCTGAAACTAGAGTTATGATAGTTGTTAGTTGCCATGTGGTTGCTGGGAACCGAACCTGGGTCCCCTGCAAGAGCAACCAGTGCTCTTAACCACTGAGCCATCTCTCTACCCCGTTTGTTATTGGCATTTGGGAATACAGTGGATACACAGTTGATTTTGTAGGAGACATTAAAACAGTTATGGGTGAATTCAATGGAGGGAGATAAAATAGTTTAAGTAGGTTGGTCAGGAGAGACTGCATTTAATATAGCACCCGAGATTGGAAATTGGAGTGGGCCATATGGGTATTTGGGGAAGGAATAGTCTGGACAATGAGTAGGCTTCCTTGTCCTGAAATTTAGGGCACACCAGGGAAGCCAGTTGAGTAGGAAAGGGAAGTCATAGGTAAGGTTAAGGGCCATTTTAAGATAAGCACATCTTAACCATGGGAGATTGGGGTGGTCAGGGACTGAAGAGTGATCAGATTTGCAGACCATCGAGTCCTTGAAATGTGTAATGGATGTAAAAATGAGCTTCCAATTTGGTAGGGAGGATGACCCCTTAAGATGTGAAGGTAGTCATGGGGTTCTAGAGGATTGCAGAGACAGCCTTATGGGCAAGGTTTTTTGGGTGAAAGATTTTTGAGGTTCATGATCAGGTTTGCAAGAGTGCTTGGAAAGCTATCAAAGAATTTTAAAACTGCCCATGCATCTGGAAAACAAGTGGTTGGAGAATTTGGTACAGAGGGCTCTTGAGACAAACGTTGGATTACTTTCCCCCTATAATTAAAGCTTATTTGTTAACCATTTAATTATTTCGTGGTGCTGCTACTTGATTATTGTCAACTAGAAAATGATTTCCGTGCAAGTATGTCCAATTTTGCATGTTTTGTGTGTGTGTGTACATGCTTGTGGATGTTTAGATACTTGGCATCAAGATGACCTGCCCTTGGTTTTCTACTTTGGATGAATCCACCTAATACCACCAATGGTAAATCTGAGATACTTTTTTTTATGCTCTAGTCATTTATTGCTGAACAGTAACAAAATCTCAGGCTTATAGGGGTTGGAGAGATGGCTTAGCAGTTGAATTCTTGCTGCTTTTCCCAGGGGACCAGTTTGGTTCCCAGCACCACATCTGGCAGCTCATAACTGCCTGTATTTAACTCCAGCTCCAGGGGATCCTATGCTAGCTTCTGGCCTCTTGACACAAAAACATAAATTTTCTTTTAAAATCTCAGGCACAAATCAAAAGCATTTGGTTAAAAAAAATGGGTTGGCCTTGCTGATCTCGGCTGAGCTATATTACTAATGCATAGCAGAGTGGGGGAATTTTGCTGATTCTAGGCTGCAGTGG